TTAAAGGGTTTTCTTTTGATCAATTCACTTTATTGTGAAATATTGTTTGGTGTAGTTCATTTTTAAATCAAAGTGAAAGGGTGTTTTATTAATTATTTCATTTTGTTATATTATGTATTATTTCATTTTAACTTGCAATTAAAGGTTATTTCCATCGTATTAAATGGTAATTCTTTGGTAAAGTTTTATTTATCATGAAATAATATTATAGTTCTTTGTTAAAGGGTCGTTTTGTCTATGTGACGTGTACGTATTCTTAAGAACAAAGGAAGGATAACGTGCTCCTGGACCTTATCATGAGTTTAAAGTTTATTGACTTTAAGTTTAATCTTTAATTGTAGGCTTGAGGGTAAGCCTGAAACTGAGTAGGAAGGATAAGTGTGATATACAGGCATATCACGTGTTTACTAGCTGCATTTAGTAATGTAGGATATTTAAATTTTTTTATTTAGTTAAGTTTTATGCAGTTTTTAGCATAAACATAAGGTCTAAAACCATTGAAAAATGCCTTGGTCCAGTTGTCTTTGTTCTTTATAGCAGATAACTCTGTTCAAGGCGTATGTTGAAAACATATTTTGTTTAAAAGTTGAAGGGTCAATGACTGCAACGTTCTTTGCTGGTAGATAGGATGGTTTGTGTATGTTACAGTGCACAAAGGCTGTTAGAGAGTGAACAGTCACGTGGTGATACTCTCACAACAGAAATAGTATGAGCTTTCTTCCAATATTAAAACATCTATTCCTTCTCAGTTCTACTTTTCCAATCATAATGTTTAGCTTGACAGAATCCAATCTTGAGAGAACGAATATGCTGCTCCATATGCTAGATATGTATAAGTAATTGTGTAAGTGTCTGTGGAAATTCTCACACTACATTATATATATATATATATATTTGTAGGTAAATAAAGATCGTATTCATTCTCCAATAAACTTTCCCAGTCTTTTTATTTTCCCAAATAAGTTTAAGTCTCAGTCAAGTTTTCAGACACAGATCACTCCTCAGATTTACTGTTCGACTCTGTTGTTAAAGTTAACCTATCTAACACTCGTGTGGATATCAGATTTACATAGGATTACCACATACTAAATTAAAATTCTCTATAAAAATGGTCTAATACTTGATTAATCTTCTTTTACATTGTAGCTAGCTAACTAACTCAAAGCTTTGGTTTGTTTCTTTCAGAGCAAAGCCACATTGGGCTGTCTTCTGTGTCCACCGCTGGGGATCAAACCCCGAATTTTAGCGTTTTAAGTCCGTAAACTTACCGCTGTCCCACTGGGAACCCTAAATACTATATAGAAAACCTTTGGTTTGTGTTAAAGTTCATTACACATTCAGTTATATTATCAGTCATTTCAACTCTATAACACCATTATATGATATTATCATTACTTTGTAATTCCTTGTAAGATTTCGTTGTATCATAAGTTGACAAAGTAACTGGAAATACAAACTGTGCAAGATGTAAAAGTGATATGTAAGGCAAACTCTTGTAAAGAATTTAACATTCATGAATTTCACCCTTCCATAAGTAACTTTAAAAAAACTTTATTCAGGTAATTTTCTCCATTTTCGTATAGGTTTGATGTATGTAGTATGGCATTTTTGTTGATTGAATGTAAAAAGGTTTTGAACGTGTGCTAATAATACAACTGATAAATATCACACTTTGCTTGTTTAATAGTTTACACCGTAAACGTTGTTCATGCAGTTTGATAATATAAATAGCTTCTTATTCACTACTGTGTTTGTCATATCACAGCCGGCCCGATGAGCTCTAATTTTGAATATCAAAAACAGAAGGTCACGTGACAACCACAGCCGATATAAAGTTGCGGTGAAACGGCATGTATTAGAACTACATTTTGACTGTGTTTGGCGTTACTTAGGTAGTGTGTTGCCAAAAATTACTCGCTTTTGGGAAAGGTATGTGGCAATCCTTATCTATACAAAATATTCATGCGCTCAGATCATAAAGATGTATTCAAATTTGGCATTTATAATTTTTAAAATGCTGATATCCCTTTTACTTAATAGCTTTGGAAAACAAAGGAATATGGACCAACTTGGGACAGTAAGACTATCAAGAGAGAGCCCTCAAAAAGTATTATCCAAGCTGTGGTAACCAGGTGTGGTGTCTTGTAAAAAGTAAGAATCCAGATACACACTGGTCAGTAGCGAAATCCGCCCATGTGTCCCAAGCAAAAGTACGCTACATAATCAAGAAGGATTCTCCAAGATAGGGCTTCCAATCATACCTCCTGTTCAATCCTCGCATACCTCAAGCAGTTGGAGAATGAAAGGGGTATTTATGCTATTTCATACAAAGGCATACCGGTCATGTTACTAGACGCAGCACTCATGGGTTTCTATGTAATTTGACTGTTGAAACGATGCTATATGAGCATCATATTTATACACTATATGGATTATGGAAAGTAAGCAGAGTGGAGTATAGTTCTTTAGACAGGAATTTTACAATGGAGCTATTTACAATCGAAAGTACGCTACATGGCTTTCGTCTAGATGCGTCAGAAAGAAAATAACGGGATGAGGTAGTATGAACTGTAACGACGCGGTTAGGTTCCAAAATCGTTTTGATATAACCTTCTCTGTAGGTTAAATAACTGACCATTCTGGTCGACTAGGTTACAAAATGACTAAATTAAGCTAGTGAATAAGAGTAGAATAACATTAGAAAAGACTGTATTCAATTTGTTTAAACTATGCCTAAAATCGAAAATACATACTACATTAAAAATGGTTGAGCTATATGTTGTATTTTATTGTGCTTTTTTATAGATTTTTACAGCACTTCGGAACTGAATTTTGTACAGTTGTATCATATTTTCCGTATTATTCTATCACAATTCGTTGTATGAGAGCTGGGCGTGGCATAGAGGTTAGTTTACCAGGCTGTAGATAGGAAGATCCAAGGTTCGAGCCATAACTCCACTAAATATGCTCCACAATTTCAGCTGTGGGTGCGTTATACTAGTGACAGTAAATTTCATTAATTGGTTTAAAGAACCGGATTGATGACGAGTGCTGCCCTCTCTCTCTGATGTGTAGTTGATAATTGTGGATAGCGGTAATTGAATCCTAGGATTATCTGAACTCATTGTACCAGTCAGGTTGAAAATTCCAATTTAGATTTATTGTTATGCGATATCACTGTCATTGTCTTGTAACTTACATCACGCTATTGTTATCTTTATGCTGTATTTCTTATCTCTGTTTTATATTTTACACTATTTTATCGCACTTTCTGTAGGACTCTATTCTGTTCTGTTTATTGTATTTGTAGTGTTCGATTGTACACAATTTGTTCATGTTTTGTACTAGTCTACGTAGTGTTACCACACGTCGTAACACAAGCTTATAAATAATTTCGTCAGATAAGATATATATTCAAACACGACTAGCTTATCACAGCCTGTAGCTAAAAATGACTTTCAGAAGAACAATAAAATAATCCACGCAATATATTTTAATACATTCAACAAGCTTTGCTAAACGTTTACTTTTATTAACCGTTAGACGTACGATTGTGTGTAATAAATTTGATGATACATTATTCGTTTTCGTATATCTTGATCGACCTTCTATGACTTTTGTTTTTGGCCTTTTTTTTTATACTCATTTTACTTTCTTATGGAATGGTTTAAGTTATTAACTTATATTCGATATATTACAACAACAGATTCAAAATATTGGGACTTCGTTGTCATTCTTCATTCTACTGGTTAATGAAATTATAGAATAGGGTTTGCTAATTAGTTCACTATTCGTTTAGCACAGACCTTTCTATTATGTAAATTGGAATAAACAGGTAATAATTTACCTAACAATGCTGTACGTGCGTAATTATTTATATGAATTATTATTTTGTAACTGATCTTTATTCGAAACTTTATCCAACATATAACGGTTGTTTCTATACTTCATATGAAACAACGTTTCCTCGAAGTAATCATGTAATATCGTAATGTATCTAGCCGGGTTGTACATGATTCTAAGGCATTGTGTTATGTGGATAATTGTCATCAAACGTTATTGTAATATCGTAATATAACTAGCTAGGTTATACATGATTGTAAGGCATTGTGTTATGTGGATAATTGTCATCAAACGTTATTGTAATATCGTAATGTATCTAGCCGGGTTGTACATGATTCTAAGGCATTGTGTTGTGTGGATAATTGTCATCAAACGTTATTGTAATATCGTAATGTATCTAGCCGGGTTGTACATGATTCTAAGGCATTGTGTTGTGTGGATAATTGTCATCAAACGTTATTGTAATATCGTAATATAACTAGCTAGGTTTTACATGATTGTAAGGCATTGTGTTATATGGGTAGTTGTTACCAAACGTTATTCTACCTAACTGTTCTTGTACTGCTAAAGTCATGGAAATGGCTAGCAGGTCTATTGGTTATCGTGCCTGCCTTGTGAATCCAACGGTTCATGGTTCACGTCTCGTTAACGTATAAATGCGCTCCGCAAACTGGGACTGTGAATGGACTATAAGAGTGACGGTAAAATCCTACTATTTGGTCAATTTGATCAGATAAGAGTAACCCGTAGGCACTGTTGACCACCTGCCTTCCTTCCTGTCGTAAAGATGACGTAGATACCTTTGTATAAACAAAGTCAACTTAAAACTGAAACTTTTAGGGAAACTCTGCATGTTAATATAAAACACTTTGGCTAAATAATTGTAATCAGTAAATAATAGCTAGCCAATAAAAAACAGACGCGAGAGGAAACCCTCAATAAAACATAAAGGGATCTAAAAGTTATTTACTTCAAATGAAAAATAAACATCATTTAGAATATTGAGAAAAAAGTCTCCAATTTAATAAAAATTCTTGAATCTCTCAAATTGACAATGGATATAAAATATTTGGTGAACTTATCCCGGTAAGTGTAATCACTTGGAGGTTTTCAAATAGACCAGATATAATTAATAAAATTCACATGTTTACACTCACCTGCTCAACCCAAACATTTGTTGTCATAATTTGTTCCTTCAGGTTCTGAAAGATAATAAAAAATTCAATAAACGTTTGACCATTAAAAATATTCAAGGCTTCAAACTGTCATGTTTTTGTGCATTTTTTATTAGTAATACCGGAGTTTTCGAATTAGCTGAAATCTCAAAAAAATAAATTCCCCCTATCATTTTAGTGGGGTTAAAATAAAATGAGATGTCAAATGTCTTTCCAGTGTTAACGACTTTTTAATAACATAACTTGTTTTAAACGTTAAATATATCGCTGAAATATTTAGTTAAAAATAACAAATATATTCTTCTGGAATTATTTTTTCTCAGGTTTGCATATTACACTGGCTAAAAGTGAAAGAAACGTTATTTCTGTTTGAAAACCTCTGGTAAAATATGCTTTTCCTTAACTTCTTGTTTCAAGATTATATTGTTTAGTAATAAACTTGAAGTTCAGTTGTATCAGCTGTAAAAGTTTGAACGGGTATTTTCTGGGAGTATATTCTGTTTAACTTGAAAAGGTTCAAATAAATATCATGTTCTTTAAAAAAATCTGGTATTGGAATTTTAATTCTTCTTGGTGCAGAACAAAGTATTCATTACAATACTAAATCTTAGGGTACTTAAGGAATTAAATGATATGCATGACATCACCAATAGTTATTGTAAAGAATCCTGAACAAAGTAGGAGTAACAAACATGCCACTTTATTAGTTATTAATATACTAATACCTTGGTTTTGTCATTTGGCTACTGGCAAATTCCCACAAACCTGAAAAATACATACATAGAAAACTACATACGTTATCAATGATGGCCACTACTAATTTGGTTTTGCTTTTGGGATCACAAAATGCTTCAGCTATTTCTCAAAGGCTCATAAATGAGGTAGTAGAAAGAATAAAAGGCCTTTTGTTGTAAGGCCTACGTAGGTATAATGACATTCTGGCCAACTTTTGAACATTTAAAAAGACTTAAAAATACTTTTCAGTGATTCATAAGAAAGAATGCGATCACCAGTTACCAGATATGATATCACATCTTGTTAATTACCAGTTACCAGATGTTTTATCACATCTTGTTCATTACCAGTTACCAGATGTTTTATCACATCTTGTTGACCACTAGTTACCAGATGTTTTTATCACATCTTGTTGACCACTAGTTACCAGATGTTTTATCACATGTTGTTGACCACTAGTTACCAGATGTTTTTATCACATCTTGTTCATTACCAGTTACCAGATGTTTTATCACATGTTGTTGATCACCAGTTACCTGATGTTTTTATCAAATTTTGTTGACCACTAGTTACCAGATGTTTTTATCGCATTTTGTTGATCACCAGTTACTTGTTAGCACCAAAGACAGGCAACAGTTAGCTGCAGAACAATCAAAAGGCAGCACCAAAGACAGGCAACAGTTAGCTGCAGAACAATCAAAAGGCAATGAATATGAACACATATCCGATTAATACTTTAAACCGTCGATACTTGTGAAACTCTATATTAACAGAATTGGGAAAACGAACATAAATGTACAAGCTAATTCAATCTGTTCCTGATGATGCCTTTACTGTCGAAACAATGGTCGTAATCAATGAAACATTTGTGAAACGTATAGTTATCTTTGTTTTCTTCAATTCTCTAAACACATTCATGTATACTTGAAAAATGGGTGTGAAAAAGTGTTACGACCGAATTATCAGACCCACTACAGACGACTTGAGGGACATCCTCTTAAAAGTATCTTTTAATAAATATTATTCTGGTATTTTGAAACAGGTCCATAAAATGTGAATGTAATGATGATGATGATTCATTGTGTTACTGATGGAACAGAAATGTATATAATTGACCTTTGCAATTGTTCAGATAACCTGAACTAGTACCAGAAATTTGGGTAAACCATAACTGACTATTGTACAATTATTATGATAACACCATTAGTTGTGCCTAGTGTCAATTTGGGTGATGAAGTACAGTAAGTATATAACAAAACTGGGATTTATGTACGAAGTGATTAAATTCATCACCCCCTTCATACAAAGGAGACATTAGGTCGTATTCTTTCATTGTTTGTCACTGATTATTATGTTGATATTTTCATAACGTTTTACTCTTTCGTTTAGTTTAGTCGTCTCTTGAGTTTTTTGTGCATAATGTCATGTCACATTAATCACAGAATTAATTGTAATATCACTCTCATAGTGTGGCAAATTGGTAACACAGGGTGACACTAAGGCATATCTTTATTCCCACAGGGTGACACTGAGGTCTTTTTTACCACAGGGTGACACTAAGGCCTATCTTTATTCCCACAGGGTGACACTGAGGTCTTTTTTACCACAGGGTGACACTAAGGCCTATCTTTATTCCCACAGGGTGACACTGAGGTCTTTTTTTACCACAGGTGACACTAGGGCCTATCTTTATTCCCACAGGGTAACACTGAGGTCTTTTTTACCACAGGGTGACACTGAGGTCTTTTTGTTTCCCACAAGGTGACACTAAGGCCTATCTTTATTCCCACAGGGTGACACTAAGGCCTATCTTTATTTCCACAGGGGTGACACCGAAGTCTTTTTTTACCACAGGGTGACACTAAGGCCTATCTTTATTCCCACAGAGTGACACCGATATATTTTTTAACCACAGGGTGACACTGAGGTATTTTTTGTTTCCCACAGGGTGACACTAAGGTCTATCTTTTTTCTCATAGGGTGACACCGAGGTCTTTTTTTTCCACAGGGTGACACTGAGGCCTATCTTTATTCCCACAGGGTGACACCGAGGTCTTTTTTTTCCACAAGGTGACACTGAGGCCTA